CTACTGCTACTGCTACTGGCTACTGCTACTGCTACTGCTACTGCTACTGCTACTACTGCTACTACTGCTACTACTGCTACTACTGCTACTGCTACTGCTGCTGCTAAACTGCTGAACAATAATGATAACAACAATTTTATTGACTACTGAGAATGATCACTACTTTCCTGGTTAGCATGCTGTTGTTGTTGCTGCTCATGTCATTGCTAGAGAGCTGTGCCATCCCTTGTATGCTTGGGGACTGAAAGACCAGCAAGCAAAGCTGTAATACCTCGTATGCGGTCGCAACAACAACAGCAACGACAACGACAACGACAACAACAACAACAACAGTGACACCCATAACCAACAACAAGGATCAAGAAGTGCGCACCTCCAGGGTTCGGGCACCACCTCCACCACCCTCCTGGCAAACATGTTGGGTGAAGATTTACCTGCATCCTGGAGGCTTGAAACCAGGCTGTTCTGGTTTATCTGTCCGCCCGGCGGCCAAATGCTGACTGTCTTCTGAATCGCCAGCCAAGCTGCATAATTTCCGTCTGCGCCACGCTGTCCTACGATGCTGATGATGCGGAAACTGCTAAATGGGTCTCCAACTCTGATCAAGCACAGCATCCGAGGTTCAGGAACTGCAGAAAAAATCGATGACTGCTGCAGTTAAGGGAAGCACAGCTCACGCCTACGTCTTGTATCTGAATCTTCACGGTACCCCATACCGATCTCGACAGACTTCATCTTGTTCTCTTGTCATGCCTGCTTCCTGCAGCCTTCGAAAAGTCTGCCATCGGCATCCTATCTTTCGACTGGCGGCCCTGGACGCTTTGGTTCCACCCGCAAGACTGGGCCGCAGGATCCTCTCCACCCGCCATCATCAGCAACGACCGGGCGAGATCTCCACCAGGGCCTTTCGGAATACAGTCCAGAGGGCAGCGCCCATCCTTCGCGCGGCAGTTCCTGGGAAGCAGGGGATGGTGTGTTGGCATCTGCAGAAACAGATACTACCTAGTAATAGTCTCGTGCCCGAATTTGCAGATTCTTGGTGATATCTTGCACAGCATCGCACAACAAAACCGTTCACCCTCTATGCGGCATGGTGCTGTACCGTCGGGAATTGTTGGGGGATTGCTCATACGCGGGTTAGAAAAGTAGCTCTGGGCCCATATCCGTGCGAGAGTCGGATCTGCCGCCATCAGCAACAGCGGCGCCAGTATTTCAGGCTGACCCCTTCGAGAGAGGGGAAGGAAGAGAAAGAGAGAGAGGGAGAGCGAGAGAGAGAGAGATAGAGAGAGAGAGAGAGAGAGATATATATATATATGTGTGTGTATATATAGAGATATAGGTATAGAAAGACATATATAGTGGGGGCAGAGAGAGGGAGAGAGAGAGAGAGAGAGAGAGAGAATGGGGAGTGATGGCGGGACAAAAATCATCAAGACGAACATCCGAGAACTGCCAAACAGGCCCGCCTTCTAGCGGCCTTGTGTAGAAGCGTCTCACCTTGTCCTTGGCAGAACTGCAACATCCCATGCAACATCCTTCTTCATAGCACCGAGGGCCTGCATTTCCATTAGAAAGTGAGGGGCTCCAACCCCACTGCGGAAACTCTCTGCGAGCATGCACTGAAGCGAGGAAAAGTTCATCAACTGCAGGCAGTCTGACGACACGTCGTCAAGTCCCAGGAGCCGTAAACCCTCCGAGTCGACCCTTTCGAGTTTCAGCGGCTGCGGAACTTGCATAAAGGGCAAAAATCACCTGCTACTGGTACCAGTCATTGGAGAGCCTTCAAAACTCGGAACTGCCCGACTTCTCCAATCAAACTACGCAATCCCTCAATGTGTTCAGACAGACCCTGAACATGAGCGCAAGTAACATCGCTGCTCCCAGCTGCCGAAGAATGAGAAGCCACTAGCTCAGTTACAGGGGCGACTGGGCAACTAAGATTGGCACATGACAAGCTCTTTACAACAAACCAACGACAGAATTCCGGTGGTGACCTCTCAAATTAGAGGCCCCAATAGCCTAAACACCAGGTGGTGACAGCTCAGACAGCACCCCAGCAGTTGCTCGAGCCACCATCCCAGGCGTTGACGTCCAGCTGCGGCGTTTGCGCAAGCGAGGCGGCGAGCCTGGCGAGCCTTGGCATTCCGCTGCATGATTGCTGTTAAACTTACTGCGACTACTTCTTCTACTACTACTACTACTACTACGACGACGACGACGACTACGACTGCGGCTGCGGCTGCGGCTACGACTACGACTACCAACAATAAAAATTAATACGACGACGACGACGACGACGACTACTACTACTGCTGTGTTTTACGGCTTTCGGGTGTTGGCACTCACTCTCGGACCCTCAACGTGAGCATGTTCCTCATTCTGCTTGGGGGTGCATCGAGCTGAATCGTAACGGCTTTTCAGGGTTTCGTGTTTCACTCCCCGGCCGGAGCAATGAGAGTTAATGAGGTTTTGCGTCTGCACCTCGTCCTGTGTATACGGTATACAGTATACATGCATCATCATCATTATACATACAGGTGCGAATATATATATATATATATACTTTGGCAAGGCTCTCCTCGCCGCTCGCATGCAGCACCTGCAGGGGGAACTGTCACAGGAGGTCAAATTGGGGCCTTTTTCCGTGAGTCCAACGTGGGTACTGGCTCGTCTCGTGCATCCACACAGTTCCTGCTGCGAACCCCTTGATATTGTGCGCTGCTAAACAACCGGAGACAGTGGAGCCTCCCTAACCTCCGAACCTCTTCTGCTCCTAATTCTTTCTTCTGCCCAACCCTCAGCTCCTAGCTATAGTATCATGTGCCTGAGGGCCATTTCGACAGTTTGTAACTATTGAAACTCCTACTCCAACTCTGAACCTGGCCTTCATCTCCAAGTGCTGCGCGTAGTGCGGCGATGGCTCGAATGCAGTGGTCTTGTGGAAACCTCTGGGCACTCGGGTTCGACTGTAGGGTAGCTGAAGTAAATGGAGTGATGCTGGGTTGGACGACATACACTTCATCCTGCATCGTTGGGCAGGTTCGTAAGACTGCCATGGATCAAAGACCTAATCACGACTCCTACAAGGCAAGAGCTACGAAGCATCATCGACCAACGGACCTGCAGTCCCAGATCAGGGAGGAACAGATCATGGAGGAACCGTTTTGAACATAAACCCTGGCGAGCAGCGGCCGGGAAAAAACTGGTCCGGCCCCTTCTCAAAGCAGCCGTTGATGTCTGATGTGGGTGACAAGCCGCGACTGTCGCGCTTGAGCCAGTGCCTCCCAGCACGGGCTGCGCGGCTACATGCAGAAAGAGGGATTATGCAAAACTCTGCCCTGTTTTCCACCGCGCACCTCTTACAATTATCTTATCACGATTAGTTGTGTATTCATTGTGGAACGGGGCCTCCGTCGCCTCCTCATTCTGCAGGTACCCTCTTGATGACTTTGGGTGTCCCTCCCTACTCCTCAGATCAAGCTGCCTGTGCGACTGGTCCAAAGACTTTCGCAGGCTGCTCCTGGGGAACATGGAAGTCACGAAGAGGGTGGCATACTTCTGCAGGTCTGATCTGCTGGGAAAAACCGTTTTTTGCTTCACACTCAGGGTTCGTCCAAATCAAGACAGAAAACTCCTTCAAAGGGCGACGGTGTCCGAGTTCGTTTGGCATGGGACAATTAGCCCAGGCTCGCTTGCAGCGCCGGCGAAAGGGGGCTGACGGTTTTGGCGGCTTCCAGGCCTCAAGTAATTGAGGCGAGGAACCACTATTATTAGGGTTTCAGCACTCACACTCGGACAAACCTTGGCGATGTTCAGGGGTACGACGAAGCTCTTTGGCTGAAACAGCCGGTTAGCTGTTCCCTTGGCATTAACACTCCCCAGCAAGTATGAGCCTTAGGCTGCATCACCCCACTGGAACCACGCCTTCATCAACATGTCACACGAAACTTTCAGGGTTTAGGGTTTAGGGTTATGGGCATCAAGATTATGTAAGAACGATGCTGCTCACGGTTGACGTGCTGGGATGTACTGGGATGGAAATCACAGCTCTGTTTCTTTCTTGATGCAGTGGATAGATAGAGGAGGCCTACTGCGAAAGAGAAGCATGCAAACCAAGAAGCTGTGTTGGCCGAAGGTCACAGCTGCATAGCTGTAGTCCATTCCGAAGCCTAAGGGCTTCAGGGATTGGAACTGTACGAATGCGTGTTCGGAATGTCAGACATTGGCTAGAGACGATCTCGACACCGTTCGGGAAGAGCGTGCTGCTCAGGTACAACCGTTCACCGATGAGGCGGATGTTCGTGGCAGCTTGGGCCTAGAACCGTCACCACCTGAAGCCTCCAAGGAGAAAGTTTGGATCTTCGGTTTATAGTATCAGTAGCCCCCCGATTGAAGTCGAGCCGGAGTACGCACTGCGTCGGTGAGATCTCGGGATCCCTCCTCACAACACGCATCAGGGGTTGCAAACGACTGGAAAGGCCCCTTGCTGTGGCATCATACCTCGTTTTATGTGCATTCCTTTCTACTCATGCTTTGCAATTCGATTGCATCGGGCCAGGTTAGCGGCTGCGACCCCTGCATCTTATCGCTCTATCGCGCGAATCGCTCGCTCGGTTCCATAGCCTGCACATCATGCAACGCACCAACTCCTTGGATTCAGGCCGAGGCCTGTGGCTTCCATGCGCATCGCCACAAAACGCTGCTCAGCTTGAACCTGCTTCTGCATCCCTGGCATCGCTCTCCTGGCACACGTAGAAGATCAGGTTGCTCAGCTGCAAGTGCTGGACAGCTCCGAGGAATCGCCGCTGCTCCGTGATCACGACCTGTGCTGCTTGCCGCAAAGTACAACAAAGCTCCGAGAGCTCCATGGCCTAGCGCAGAGGATACCAGGAAGTGCGCTAGTAGAACTGGAACGATAAGCCTGATGTGGAACATGGTGGGGTTGTCTAGACAGTGGCTCAGAAGTTCCTCTCTCTTCCTTCTGACCTTCAACACACTTCCCACACCAAGCACACTGAAACTCTCCCAAGCCGTGGAACCAGCAGGAAGACTTTCTGGCCACCCAGTAGACGCAGCTGAGCATAGAGCTCCTGGTCCACATCTTCAGGCGCTCCGAAGCTCCCGCAGATTTGCATCCCGGCTCCCTCAACACCTAGCTCCTGGTCTTCCCTACTTTTCGGCAACCCGAAAACGAGGCCTCGCTGGAGTCCAGCTCTTCCGACCGCGCACAAACGCGGATCAGCAGCCTCAACAAGGGGCTTAGGGTCTAGGGTTTCAGCACTCACTCTCGGACATGCCTGGGCGAGGTTCCTGGTACGACGATCGCACTTTGAGTTATTCTGGGTCTACGGATTGGAAGGACAGCCTTCGGCTACTAGTACTCTTGCGAAAATGCCAGGGAGCAGGGGCCGCGCGGTGGCCTCGGTGCAGGCCTTCACGAGCCTGCAGGCAGTCAATCCGCAAGGATTGTTCAAGCGGCTAATTCGCTATTAGGTTGGGAGTACGGCGACAATTATACAAAACCCCTAACCCTGAACCCTAAAGTCCAAATCACCGAACCCAAGAACTGCAGAAGTTGGGAGCCGGAATGCTGCAGCAGCCGCTCGCCGCGGCGCTGGAAGGCACCCTTGGAGGAGCCTGCGACGAGTCTTGCGCTCTTGGTGTCATATTTAGTCAATTCATAAGGGATCTATAGAAAAATTGTGTATAAGTGGCCTAAGGGATTTAAGGGATCTATAGAAATATTGTGTATAAGTGAGCTGTAGGGATTTACACCGAGGCTGACCTTTGCACCTGGATTTGAGCAAAGGCCCGGAACTGGGGCGCCGACTAACTGTGCCGTGGATTCGTGCCACACGGCTACCCTATCCCGAGCTCCAGGAACCGTAAAGATTCGGACCAGGAGCCCTGAGAAGCCAACAACCGTTTAGGAAGAACTATACACCCACCACCAGCTACGGACATAAGCACGGGATCAATCCAAAACCCCTTACGGCCTGCTCAGCTGCGAAATGTTCAGAAGCCCTGAAGGCCCTAAAACCAACAAAGACCAACCCAATCCACACTTGAGCTCCTGTGGAGATGTCGTGGTGCGGGAAGGCATGGTAGGCAGAGCGAAAGGATGTATACCCGTGCTCGCCGACGACCTTCGGGACAGGGGCAAGCAAGCAAAGGGGCTTCGGTATACAAAGTACAGGCTTAGAGGTTTGCCGAGAAAAGCTAGCTGGGTGTGCTGGTTACGGCTTTCCGCTCCTGCCTGTGCATCGTCGTAGTGCGTGAAGTCGCGGAAGCCGTGCCGGAAGAAGTAGAGGACGCCCTCTACCCTGGAGACCAGCCAATCGAAAGGCATTGCCAGTTGCTCCACGAACCTTGCAAAACCGATCCGTAGAGGAAACGTTTGCAGCACTACCAGCTACAAGGGGTACATGGTGGGAGTGCTACGGAGGCTCTTGCTGCGACAGGTCTTATTAGTGTGTTTTTGAACAAGCATCCCCTGCTTCCCCCTGCCCCTTTAGAAATGCTGTGAATGCCAAGGGGCATCTCGTCCATGGCCTGCTTCACCACCTTGGTGCATCCTACAAAGCATTGGTCTGCCATCTTGAAGCAGGGCCTCCTAGACCAGTGGGGTGGCTTACGTCAATCTTGCCACCCACCAGGCAGCATACCATGCCTTCGGCGGACCCTGTACAAATTGTGCAGGGAAGAGATGCGTATGTATGTGCGAACTTGTCATGAGCATGTGCATGTGCATGCGTTGGTGTATGGGCAAACGTATGCATTCGAGCCTGCGCAACTGCCCAACTCCCCAACCCCAGAATGCAAGAACCACCAGAATCCTCTTAGAGTCTTTAGGTGAAGGAGTGCTTTGCCTCACAGAACAGGCCACATCTCACGAGATGCAGACCTCAAGGCATTAAAGTCCCACGCCTGACCACCCAATAGCCGTGAAAAAATCCTGACGCCCAGGCCCCCTCAAAGCTAGCTAGGATCCCTCTTTTGGCTTACTTGCATCCTTCTTGCAGCAGGGACTCTTTGCATAATTTCAAGACTGAAGGCCCCCAGCCCTGGCCTCGGGAAGAACAGCTAAGTCAACGCCAGGTCGCGCAGGCGCACCCCAGGCCTGATAGCACTATTATTATCATTATTATTATTGTTGTTGTTATTACTATTATTACTATTATTATTATGATTATTATTATTATGGTAATTATTATTGTTATTAGTAGTAGTATCAGGTCTTGGCCAGCCTTCGCTGGCGCGGTCGTTTTTGCGCATGGCTGCGCTGACATGTAGTTCGAACGATGTTTCAGTGGAGGTGCTGGTACCATTGAACTGCGGCTCGTAGCTTTTGCAGGGTCTTCTTGGTAGGAGCTTCGGCGGGCTTTCGTGGAACCACCTACCCCAACTTTGAAAATGCATCGGGCATCATCAGGCTGCACATTAGGGGGATTAGGATCTTGCTTTGCATCGGAATTACCATTGCGCTATGTATTAGTGTCGGGATCAGGGCAAGGAAACGATTTGGGCTCTCCGACAGCACACCAGCTCTGGTTTTCATAGGGCTGAGTTCAAGAGCACAACCCGAAAACGCAAGTCCTGAGCTGCGGTGCGAGGGGCTTGCCACACCCAGCCCAAGGCTTAGGCGCTCACCCTGCGAGTTCCGGGCTTCTGGCTTAGGGCTTAGGGTTTCTCAAAGGGGCTTAGGGAAGTTTAGGAGGAGGAGGAGGAGATTCAAGCAGCTTCGGACCACAGAGCCTCCCATACTTGGAACGCAACCTGCCTTTCGAGGTGCGGGCTTTCACCGAGACGGCCAGGCTGATGCTGGGTTTTGGGGAGCTGTTTAAGAGAGGTAGCTGAGTATCACAACTACTTCAGGGGGGGACATCACATTCGGCAGCAACCTGAACGGCACCTGAAGCCTTATACCAGGACTTGCCGCGGCCTTGGAAGGACAGGGGTCACCGCGAGCTGTGCGGCCAGATGAGAGACAATCGTCTACCTGAGCTGAGAATTCCGTGGGCTTGGAGACTTTCTAGGCCGGCGACCCCGAAGACGAAACATGCGGATTTCGGGGTGTGCGCGAGAGAATAAGAGAAAGGCCTTCGTCAGCCCCATGCACCGAAATCTCTGCGAAACTCAGAACTCTTGGCAGCTCCAAACCTGGCAAGAGTAACTGCACGCACTTCGGATCTGTGCTGGCCCAAGCTACTGCCAGGCACGCGACGTGCACCTGGCGCCGGCAGCCCTTCGCATCGTAGATCACGGCGAAACTCTCGGCCTGGTTCTTCCTGACCATGCAAACTGATTACCCTTCATTGGGGATTCGGTGGCTTTGCCAGCCGAGGTCTCGTTTTTTGCATTCGTCTTCGTGCGCAGCCAGCGGGCCCCCCGCAGTTTCTGAGAACTGCCCATGTCTCAGCTCATCCAAGGGTCTCCACCCTCCCAACGATGCAGCGCTGGCCCGACAAGCCTGGGCCAAGGGATCCTACGACGGTACAGTACCCGGCTCCGCGTCCAAACACTCGGAGAGCCACGAAAGAATCGCAAAGGGAGATGATTACCCCGCCCTGAACTGATCACAGTTCGAGACACCAGGTAGGCCGATAATGATGCAGCGCGCGCCGCTGCAGACGTCGAAGCAGCAAACGCACTCCAAACGATCAATGTCATCCTGCTCAAGTTCTGCAGGCCGACACAGAACCCAGTGCTAAAGACGACACAACACACGGCGGCTTTCTGATGCTTTCTGACGAGGGCATCGGATCACATCTGACAGCCATGCCATGCCGCTTGCTTATAGCTCCTCAACCCACACCGCCTGAGTGAAGCCTCTGTGACGGCTGCTCTCCTTGCCAATCCGGTACACGGTCGTCGCATGCGCCTCCCCGCCAACCACGGCATTCCATGGTTCTGGCCGACCCTGCCGCATGTGCTGGCTTGGAGCTTAGGCTTTAGCTTTGTGCGGCACTGTCTTTACCTCTGCCATGCCACTCGGAGACATCTCTTTGTTCTCATGTAAATCAAAACGAAAGTAAGAGAATAGGAATTACAAACGCACCCCAGCTTTTGACCTTGTTTCAGTGCTGAACAGACTAGACTAGCAAGTGACGGTTGCTTGGAAGGAGCCAGCGCCCCCTCTACCTGGCCGTTTGCTACTCACACACTCACAGCACCGCACGTTCCTCCACACAAACCGGTACAGTAACCGCTTGAAAAAGCGAGCGGACAAGCGGTCGCCTGTTGCATCGTCAGCAAGTCGGCTTCATCCAGGCAGCGGTAGCAGCGAGGCACCAGCTGTGTCAACACCCACTTCCTGGATGAAAATCTTTCGGAGGTTTGGGTCTCCCAACTCAAGGTGAAAGCCCCTGCCGTGAGACGACACCTAACTACACGTGAGTTGCCACCTTGCCTATGGCGCAGAACCCTGTAGCACGATCAGGCTGGAGGCTGCTGAGTGCTTCCCAGTCACCGCAAACAATCTTGGCAGTAGCTATGCTGCGATGCGCAGGGCAGCATTCGGATCTGCGTTTCCAAGAACCTTGGCCCGTTTACTGTTTTATACTGAGAAAATCGTAGTTTCTCTTCCTTCCACACACTCTGGAGCAAACCTTGTCTGTGCTAGTCCAATACCTGTACTAGACGGCAAGCGCAGCACAACAAAGTCAAACCTGACTGGCCTGCCTTGCACGAATGTGTGCTGCACCCTCGACGGTTTGGGGAGTGGAGAGTAGATGTCGCGCCGTCTCGGCTCAGGTACGAGAAAGTTGGCACGTGTAGATTTGATCACTTGTGTATGTATGTATGCATGCATGCATGCATGCAGGTAGGTGGGTAGGTAGGTCGGTCGGTCGGTCGGTGGGTCGGTAGGTAGGTAGGTAGG